TGGTGGTGGTGGTGGTGGTGATGATGGTGGTGGTGGTGGTGATGGTGATGATGGTGGTGGTGGTGGTGGTGGTGATGATGGTGGTGGTGTTTCTGTCCTGGAAACCCTTCTCTAATGGTTTCCCACTAGGCCTGTGAAGATGTCTCAGGCCGCCTACAAGAGGAAGAAGTCAGTGTTCTACCTCCAGAGCATCAGTGAGGGAAGTTTAGCCACACCAGGCTTGCTGGACCATCTGTGGTCTGCTCCACCTGGAGGCTTAAGAGTGGAGGAGGAAGAAGAGGAGTCACCCAGGCTGCCCAAGCTGGCAGAATGGCTGTGCCTATTCCCCCCTTGAACAAGAGCCCCTGCGTGCCCTAAATGAGGTGTTCACACTCCCTTCCTACTAAGAACAGGCATGGGACCTGGTAAGATTCTGTACACTTCCTATCATCACCAGAAGCAAAGAACAGAACCTGAGAGAAGCAAGGCAGGATAGTAAACATGTCATCCTGTGAGGAGAGGTAAGGGAACCAACAGAGTGCCCAGTTGCTGTGACTAAGGGCTGGGGCAGAGACATCTCTTCCAATCACTTTCTCCCTGTTTCCAAGAAAACTGTAGCTGGACACACAGCAGCTCAAGCTGCATTTGGCGTCTCTTCAGGGTCAAGCGGATAGTAAGCAAGTGCAGACATGGGGCAGGGGCGCTGTGTGCAACATACAGACTGTCCCTAAAGCAAAGTCCAGCTCGTGGCCGTCAGCCTGGTCTCTTTTCCTGCAGACTGTAATGCAGAAGGAACTGCAGTGCACATTAAACCACTAGGAGAAGGACAGCGAGGGAACCAGGAGAACCTGGGTCTCATGGGCACAGCCATTCTGCCTGGACTACTCCTTGAAGCAGAAATACAGTTCTTTGATGTAAGTGTCCACATCAATTGGTCTCCTTGTGATACCAGGTTAATTAATACATCAAACAAGGCCTTATTAGCATCAACCTCACTAGTGTGTGCTAAGACACTGTGAGTGTTAGCCGTAATGGACTGCCATTTTGACAGATTGATAGCAGCTGCCTATCAGGTCAAACACTTCACAAGTAGGAAAACGTACTCCCCAGAAGCACTTCATTCTGCACCTAGCATACGGAGAGTGAGTGCAAAACAACATCTGGAGGAAATTAAAGAATGAGAATATCTCACATTTATGGATCAGAAAACATAGACACTACAGTGTCCACACACAACCCAATAATTCACAGAGTAACCACAATTCTTCTGAAAACCTTAGGTGTCATCCTAGATGGTGACGCCTATAATTCCAGTACTTGGGGATATGAAAGCAGGAGGAGCGGGAGGTCAAAAGCATCCTGGCCCGTATGTCTACTCTGAAGCCAGCCTGAGTTGTATGGAACCAGTTTTAAAGCAAGGGAAAAATCTCGGTTGCTTAGTAACAAAATGATGTTAAGATGTATAAAGAATGACAGTGGTCTCAGAATGATGAAAACAATTTTTAAGGCAAAATTGGAGGACTCTCATATCCTAACTTCAAAACTTACTACAAAGCCGGATATTAATCAAGAAAGGGTAATATTGCCTTATGTGCAGACACTGACATGTTAACAGAGAACTGTGAGCCTGGAATAAACCCTCGCATTCCTCATGAGCTGTTTCTGACAGAGATGACCGAGTGTTTCAGTGGGAAGAGAACAGTCTCTTCAATGCATGGTCCTGATATAAACAAACAGATGTGAAAATATAAAGTTTGGTTTCCGCTTCACACCACATAAAAAATCAAATCAACGTGGATCAGAAACGCAAGGGTAAGAATCAATATTACAAAATACTTAGAAGGAAACAGAGCTAAGACTCTTCATAGCCTTGGCTGAGGCCATGCATTCTTATGACACCAAAAGTCAGGTGATAAGAGAAAACCAAAAAACATGAGGAGTTCAAAGAATGCTACTGAGAGTTATCCAAAAAACAGAGTGGAAAAAATATTTTAAAATCACATTTTTTGGGGGGGGGGGTTTCAAGACAGGGTTTCTCTGTATAGCCCTGGCTGTCCTGGAACTCACTCTGTAGACCAGTCTGGCCTCGAACTCAGAAATCTACCTGTCTCTGCCTCCCAAGTGCTGGTTTTAAAATCACATATGAAATATATATGTAATATTGAAATATTTTAAAACTCAAAAATAACATAAGACAATCCAGTTTTTAACTGGCAAAAGAGTTGAATAGACACATCTCCTGGGGAGACACACAATTTGAGATGAACAGCCATTCAGGAAATGCAGATTGACAACACAGTGAAACCCTGCTTCACAGATGAGGATGGCTGTAACTAAAACAGCAGTGCCAAGTGGTACACAGAAGTACCAGAGTTAGTCTTGGACCAATGACATTTACTCAGAGCATTGTGACCAGAACAATTTTCTAGGCCCTCGAAAAGTTACACATATACTTAATTGCTTGACTTCATGCAACTAAGGTGCATGCTCAAGTAAATGGCAAATGTATGGTCACAAAAGTATCTGTGTGTCTTCCACGGCAGCCTTGTTCATAACATTCGCCAAAGTAAAAACCACTCACTACCTATCACATAGTGAATGACTGAATAAACAATCATGGCCTGCCTGTATCCTAGAATACTAAAAAGCCACACAAAGAATGAATTTCTAATGAACTACCACATGGATGGACCTGAATACATCCTGTTAAATGTAAGGTGTGAGTGACAGAGCACCAGGCATCCTGCTGACCCACTGAGTGACGGCAGTGAGCGGCTGATCCAGAGGCAGAGAAGGTCAGGCTGGGAGACAGACAAGCAGGAGGCATGCACTTTCTCTGAGGTTACAAATGTCCTTTAGAAATAGTGATTGCAGTGGGTTCAATGATGGCCCTAAAGATACCTGCTGATGTTCTAGAATTTAGAATCCATATGTGGACTGGATCTCCTCTAGGGTCTTTAGGATGGAGCCTGCTATACCTGTTTCATACTTTTGGCCTCCAGAGCTATGAAAAAATAAAGCTCTGCCGGACAGTGGTGGCGCACGCCTTTAATCCCAGCACTTGGGAGACAGAGGCAGGTGGATTTCTGAGTTCGAGGCCAGTCTGGTCTACGAGTGAGTTCCAGGACAGCCTGGGCTATAAAGAGAAACCCTGTCTCGAAAAAAATAATAAAAATAAAGCTCTATGGGCTTCAATCCTCTGGTATGTAGACACGTGTTAGAGCAGTGCAGGAAGCCGGAAAATGTGGTGACTGATGCTCAAGTCACTCACTAATTTATTGACGCTTGTATAGATTTAGTTGGGTTTTGTTTTTGTTTTTAAGAGACAGGGTCTCATGTATCCCAGGCTGGCCTTGACCAGCTTAACTTCTGATCCTCCTGCCTCCACCTCTTGAATACCGGGGTTACACACCCACACCATCACACCTAATTTTCTACATCTAGGGTCCTGTGCATGCTAGGCAGGTAATGTACCCACTGAGCCACATCCCAATCCTAAAGATAGTTTTATAGATGCTAAAAAGTATTGACTTACATACTGTAAAGGGTAGACATACACAAATACAGAAGCACACACACACATGCTCACTCGGCCACATGCCAGGAAGCACTCACTGGTCCTAGACTGAGGTGCACTGATGACCTTTTCTTCTTTATGTGAAGGTATCACTGCTGTCCTTCAGACAGGACAAAGTCTATCCTACAGTTGCTCATCTTCCTTCAATAGCAGCATGATTTTTTTTAGAGCTACGTCCTTGTGACCCCTTGAATTGATATTTGATAGGAGAAATGGCTGGCCATGTCTAGTCTGTAACTTCGGTTCTTAGGGCCTTCTGAGGACCCATCTATTCCCTTTCCTAGATAAGTATCCAGCACACGGAGCCCTGAGTAAAAGAGTAATCAGGTAACTAGAGAGGATGATTTCCAAATAATCAACAAAAAGACAGCCCAGAGGGTAGCCATTAGCGCAGGAGTTTACAGGGAGGACAGTGGGTGAGTCCTCTCAGGCGGGCAGCAGCAGCCCTTGGAACCCAACCTCTGAACCATCAAGCTGCTGCTTGATGTAGGGTGATTCCCCACCCTGCAGGTCAGAGATGGAAGTACAAGGTGGTCCCCGAATCTGCGGAGCTTTTCTGAGGCACCATCTACTCCAGAAAGTGCCTGCAAGTACCACAGCATCCCCCAGCAACACGGAAATCAGCAGACTGCTCTGAGAGGTCACACAGACCTGCTTGGAGTGCCTTGGGTCCTGTAACCTCAATTCCAAGTCCTGAAATGTGCAGGCAAAACAGACCTGGGAACTTGGAGGCTGCACCTTACCTCCACACATCGCTGCCTTTGGAAAACATGGAAGCACGGATGACTTCAGGCGCCATCCAAGCGTAAGTTCCCGCCGCACTCATCTTGGTGGTCCGGTGCCATTCCCGCGCCAGCCCGAAGTCGGTGATCTTCAGAATCTTGTTACTCAGGTCTCCATTCTCCACTTTCTGCAGGATCAATACTGAGCGAAGAAGAAAGCAATACAGAAGAAACCAGATAAGCACTAGTCACAGGGCCACGTATCCACCCACCGCCTCCTGCAGGTGCCGCCACTGTGCACTGACAGCAGAAACCCAATTTTAGCCCCTACATGTTCATTCTGCAGCACATCTCTTTGTTAGCAGCACCTCAAGTCCCTGCAATGCATTTCACGGTAGCCATTTCAGGCTCGACATCCCTACCCAAAAACTATCCAGAGGTCAAGTCTATCAAGGTGAAACTCTTCTGGTCCCACACACACGGGATACGGGTACTCAGGTTGCACTGTCTTCCTGGTGTCACAATGCAGGGCTGGACCCCAGGCAGCGGGCTGACAGGAGCCTGCTTTCCTACAGCAGAGTGACAGAGGAACTGAGTCACACACACCCTTCTGAGGAGCAGCCACCTGGGCTCCCTGCATCAGAGCACACCTAGGTTATACCCACCCACAGATCACAGGGACTGGAGATGCATGCTGGATCAACAAAATGTTCAGCGTCTAGCCAGCTCTGTGACCCTCTTACGGGTATATCCTACCCACCTTCTGACACTGTGACACTGACAGCATCTACACAAATCTTAGACACATGAGGCCCATATGCTGTGGGTTGGACACCGCTGACATTCTTTTGTTTTGTTTTTCAAGATAGGGTTTCTCTGGCTAGGCTCAACTCATAGACCAGGCTGGCCTGGAACTCACAGAGGCCTCCCTCTGCCTCCCAAGTGCTGGGATTAAAGGTGTGTGCCACCACACCCAGAGATCTTAAGATTTTTGTCATAATTCTCAGGCAAGTCCCCTAACGAGTTGATAAATGGCTGGTAAGCGGAAGGTTGGGGGTCAGAGACATACACGTGCACACACTCATGATATCCTCAGTGAGCATGGTCAAAGAAAAGGAACTGGTGCAGGGTGACTCCAAAGCATTGGCTCTCGTAGGATGGCAGCTGTGGTGGCCCCCACGCCCACATATGGTGGTCCCAGCCATGTAGCCTGGTGGGAGATAATCTGGCTGAAAACCACCCCAAACCTTGCTGACTAAGCTGTCATACTGTAAACCACAGAACTTTGCTGCGTGCAGGACTAAGAACTGTCCAGAAAAATGCAGGACATGCCTCCTTATCCCAAGTGGGATGGCTCAAAGGCTTTGAGTGAGCATAGCCTCTGTAGCCAGACACAGCCTTCCCTGAATCTCTGTTAGTGAGACTTCAGAGCAAGAAAGAAGGTTCCCTCTTTGCTCCTGTGAGGAGGAAACCTGCTACAGTGTATCACTTAAATTGTAAAAGGGATTCAGCGAGGCCCCAGAAAACAGTTAAAATTATACAGTTAACTCTTAGTCCTGTGCACCAAGACAACCTAGAGGCTTCCCACTATCCATATACTACTTAACGTAAGATGTCTTACACTGCAGACCCTGATAGCAAAGACCCTTCTGCAGTGAAAGAGTAGGTGCTTCACGACACAGCCACACCCTTCTCTCCACTCCTACTCCCATCCCCTGAACTGTCATATACTGAAGAGAAGTGGCCCAAGGAGCTCCAGGTCCTGTGTGCTTCTTAGAAAAACAGCAGTGTGCCCCAGGATTATCAGTAGCTTCAGACCTGGAGTCTGGAAAGAAAACAACCCCACCCTAGACCTAATGGACGAACCCTCCCTCCTCTTTCACACGCTCTCTACTCCAGACACATCCCTCACCATCCTGGCTTCCCCCACCCAGGTGCCTGAACAGATACAAACCAAGAGAAGGAAAACAAACTCCTCTCTATCTAGTGACAAAAACAAACAGACAAACAACAAAATCCCTTCCAGAATCTTCTGAGGCAGAAACAACGGGACAGCAGACATTCAAAGAGTCAGGTAAGTGGCACTAAGGAAAGTCCCCATTCCCCTTCAGAGGCAGGGAGTGTCTCTCTGAATATACACTGAGTGGGGTCCAGTCACCCAAAGCTCTAGGTGGCTGGGATAGGAGAGAGATGTTTCTTATCAGTCTGTCAGTATGCTTAAACAAGATGCAAGACTGACAGGGTAAGAATCAGCCACTGACTGTCTGTCTACATGGGGTATACTGCTATACAGACCCGTATACAGGTCAGCCTCACCTGCTCGCCACTGTCCCATCCATCTCAGACTCAGCTGTTCTTACCCTTTGTGAACTCCATGACCTAGAGACCAACCCTCATCAACAGAGGGGGACAATAATCTGAAACCCGTCGCTACCTCAGCAGGCAGTAGCAGGTCATAGTGTTCTGAAGTACGGGTCTTCCCAGCACCAGGGCTTGTGAAAGCTTTCCTTTACACTGCTATTGTACTCAAGATGAAATATGGAACAATCAAGCGTTATACAGCCAACATCCAGTGGGCTACCCCTACCTGCTGCAGGACATTGTCATCACCCAAAAGGAAGTCCTGTGACCACTAAGCAAATATCCCCAACTCTTCTCTCCTCCCAGGCCCGACACCCCCAATCTGCTTTGACCCCATATGAAGACGTCATAAAAGAGAACGCTACAGTGATATGTCTCACTTTCCTTAATGTTTCCAGGTTTGTCACGGTATAGCTTTTATTAGTACCGCATTCCTTCTCATGGCTAATAATATTCCACTGTGATAAATTCGTGCTGTACACTACATAGAAGGACAGCTGCTCAATTTGGATCAAATGCTGTGTAACTGAACCTGGCTGCTTGTTGTTGCTGACGTCATCTTTCGGAGTCCTTTAGTGTCTCTAAGAAGTAGGAGGATGACACTACCTGTTTCATCCATGTCAAAAGAGATGCAAAGGGGACAGGAGCAGAGTCCACATCTCTCACTGCACAGCCTTGCTCTCCGTCTCAGTGCTATATGATCCAGAGCAAGAAGGACATTCTGTCTCTCAGGCTCGACTCAGTTTGCTCAGTGCTACAGCCCATTAGCTGGCCCATTGCTAGCTCTTCCTCAGCAGCCAAAACCAACTGCACGCAATCCAACCGCTCGTACGTCTAAACACTCCCTGCTGGAGCATATGGGTGTCTATCATCTTTTCTAGGATGGCACGGAATCTGACCCCTGGAAGGTAGAACCCTCATTCTCTTCTAGAATCTATGACGTCCTGCTCCAGGAACCTTGCATAGGGCCAGGCTCTTGGCAAGAACTCCCTCGTGCCTGGCCAATTATTGACCTGTGTATTTTCTCTGACTATACTTTTTAAATGTTAATTTTAAAAAGTATTGGAGGTTGATTTTTTCAGAGAGGAATAGAGTCAGAGAAAGTAACACCTCAGCCAGGGGTTCCCCAGTGATTGACATACTGGTGCAATGTGGGTGGTGGGCTACAGAAGGGATAATTTGGAGATTCGGCCTGGGATGTCCGCACCAGTTACTTAGGCACCCTGTGGCCATGATACCTGACAGAATCCACCTAAGGAAGAAACAATTATTCAAGTTCTCTGTCAGAGGATCCACCTCAGTCTAGCACAGTGGGGAGGACATGATGCTCACTGCAGAGGATGGAGTGGCAGTGGGTCCTCACATTCCAGCCCTGAAACAACTGAGCTACAACTTTTCAAATCCTGCTCTTAGCATCGACTCATGACAGTCAGGCCTCACGCCCCAAAGCCCAAAGGTCTATGGCCCATTACTTTGCAGTGGGCTTCATGGACTAGTTCTCCCAGTTTCAAAATAAGAATTTGTATTTATTTGTGTGTGCGTGTGTGTGTGTGTGCATGTGTGTGTGTGTGTGTGTGTGTGTGTATTTGCTCAATGTATTCATGTGAAGGTGTAGATGTGCTCAGTGTGTGTGCGTGTGTGTGTGTGTGTGTGTGTGTGTGTGTGTAAATGTACTCATGCTACAGCATGCAAGAGCAAGTTAAAGGTCAGCTGCAGGAATCAGTTCTCTTTCCATGTTGGTTCTGGGGATCCCGGCCGTCAGTCTTCCTGGAAGGCACCTTCAGGCTCTAAGGCTCTCCACAGCGGCTCCAGTTCCTTCTCTTCCCTCATTCACTCTTTCCATGCTCTTTGGTCGTCCTTGCTGTACGCTGTGGATGTGTCTTCTGACCCAATGCTGGGTCTTTACTCCCTGTCACCGTTTTCTAAGTTCTAAAAGCTCTTCCTCATTTTCTCCTCTGTTTTGGGGGAAAGCAGTACAAGCTCCTGGACAGCAGCTGCTCCTGTGTAACGGGTCTAATGTCTACTCCCTGTCTTCTTGTCCATTTTCTGCCATTTTCTTTTTTTCTTGAAGGGCAGTGCTTTAGTCTCTAGAGTACTTTACTGAGTCGAGCTCATCTGTCGTGATTCAGCACAAAGCTGTGCCTGTGTTCAGAGGTGCACTACTTAAGTTTTAAAGGTGCACACTGAAATATTTACACGTACATTGATAGGGTGTTGGTGATTTCCTTCAAAGTAATAAATAGTGGGAATACCCAGGTTACAGAAGGAACAAGAGCTGTGAGTTGGTACCTGACGAGGCAGAGGAGGTCCATCATGCCATTCTCCTCATGTAGGCTCATGTCTTCCACAGGAAGAGGAAGAAGGAAAGAGGGAGGGAGAGAGAGGGAGAGGGAGTAGGAGAGGGGGGAGGGAGAGAGAGGGAGGGAAGGGGAGAGAAAGGGAGAGAGAGGGAAGAAGAAGGAGAGAGAAGGAGAGAGAGGGACAGGGAGGGACAAAGAGAAAGAAGGAGGGAGAGGGAAGGACAGGGAGGGACAGGGAGGGACAGGGAGAAGAGAAGTAGGGAGGAAGACACATCATAGCATCAATGCCTCTTCTACCTACAGGAGACCAATCTCTGAGCCATAGCAAGGCAGAAAAAAGAAAACCACAACAGACATGAACCAGGATGTGGGTCCTAGTGCTCCCTGTGAAATCCTCTCCAGGACTCCATTTCTCTACCTGACACTCTCAGTCTGTAATTCCCTGAAAGCTTCATCGGTCTTCCAGGACTCGGTCAAGCTCTGCCAACTGTCTTGAGGTAGGAAAGGTAAAGCCCAAAACCCGAGGGTAAAGTGGGTGACT